CCCAGAAACTTTGCACCTATTTTCCTGAGCTGCACCTTGGGCATTTTCTCAATGGTTAGCTGAGTGGACAGCTCTGATATCCATATAGCTCCCTAAAGAATTGACATTTCATTAAAAAAAAAAAAAAAGCCTTGGACTTCAGAGTTTTCCTGTGGTACTGGCCTGTCGTGGGATGGTCTCATTGTCTGTGATTTCCTTTAGTTGATCCCTCTGATCCTTCCTGTTCATGACCACATGGTCCTGAGACCACAGTGACCCCTAGAGGACAGGACTTTTGTCTATGTGTACCTGGAGGCCATATCCATATCCCAGGAGGGTCCTCCATCAGCCTCAGCTCTGAAGGCCACAGAGGCTTCCCTGTGGCTTGGAGCAGACCCACCCTTGTCCTCCAGACCACTGTGGACTGTGGTCTGGACCTTGCCTTTGGTTTCTGGTCTGGACCTTGGCTAGTAGAGACGGGGCATCTCTGCACCCGGCCTGCAGGAGGCTGTGGGCTTCAAACCGAGTGACGTGTCTGTGGAGTCAGGGCCATCAGGAGGGGGCTCTGCTCTCGGCCACCCTGGCTGGGCCCTTCTTCAGGAAGCTCCTCCATGGGCCATGGAAAGGAGTCTCTTCCCTCCACACTCAGACAGTCCTGGGACAGGAGGGTCATGGAGTTCCCGTCCCCTTGCCGGCCAAGCCCTCGGTGTCTGGGGTCAGCCTGCCCCTGACCTGGGACTCCAGGGCGCTGACCCTGGCCCCCTCTCTTGCAGTTCATGGCGTCCCATGGGAATGAAGCCGCCAGAGTCACCTTCGAGTCCAAAGTCCCGTCTTTCTACTACCGGCCCACGTTCTCCGACTGCCAGTGAGTACTGGGCCTGGTCAGGGCCTCTGGTCAACAGCCTGGGCCCTGCGGGGGGGCGCAGGGAGGATCCAGAGTCTGGGGGAAGGTCAGCCATGCCCGGGTCCCATTGCCCAGCAGAGAGGCCCTCGGCCCACGAGAGCACGTCCCTGTCCCCGTGCTGCTTGGTCCCTGGGGCTCATCTCCTTTCTGGGCTGGGACTGGGTCCTGAGCAGGTAGGAGGGAGCCAACTAGCCAAGGTCCAGACCCTTTTGTCTGGCTTGGGTTCCTGGTGTGGTGGACGGACAGTGGAGGGCGGGCAGGGCTCAGTCAATCTGGGTGGGCCATGGCTCGGGGGTCTCAGGGGGTCTCTCGATGCCACTGGCATGGGTGTGGCTCTCAGGGGCCCCCTGCGACCACTCACCTACCTCCCTGAGCCTCAGCCTCCACATCTGTCCAGCCAGCGGGAGCCGTGAGGAGGTGACAGCTTCAACTGTACCAGTGCCCTCCTCTTGCCCCACCCAGGGAGGGACAGTGTGGCCCACTAGCCTCGTCCAGGTCCCCAGGCCGGCTTGTCCAGCCGGGTCTTCCCTTTCCCACACCCACCCTGCGCCTTCTGCCTCACCCTGACCTTTGGCCCGCTGTTCCCTACCTGGAGTGTCCTCCTGGCTCTGCCTGGCCCTGACCAGCGCCTTGAGCTGGCTCTGATTGGCTGCCACTGCGTCCTGGGGTCCCCGCCCTTTCTTGAGCTGGGTGGGGCCGAGCACCTCCCTGGTTCTCCTGTGGCCTTGCCCAGTGGGTCAGGGGCAGGGCCTCAGGGGTCTGGGGCTGAGGAAGCTGGGCCCAGCACCACGAGCTGCTGTATCTGTGAGGCACAGGAGGCCCTCCCTACTCCAGGGCATCTCCTGAGGCTGGATGTCCCCTGCTGAGAGCTCCTGGCCCACCTCCCTTCCTGTCCCTGCCCTGGTGGGGAAGTGTCGGTGTCCAGCAGGACACCCATGTCCCCTTGTCTTCCCAAGGCAGGAAGGGTCCCTGGGTCAGTTGGAGCCCCTCCCCTGCTGGCCACAGGTTGGGGCAAAGGACCCCCTCCTAACTCAGTACTTCCCCTCGCCCCACCCCCACCCCCGTACCAGGGATCGAACTCAGGGGCGTTAACCACTGAGCCACATCCCAGCCCTTTGTCTATTTTATTTAGAGATAGGGTCTCACTGAGTTGCTGAGGCTGGCTCTGAACTCACCATCCTCCTGCCTCAGCCTCCTGAGCTGCTGGGATGACAAGGAGGCCTGGCCTAACTAGGTACTTCTGAGGCCCAAGGTCCTGAGGACACTTCCCAGAGGACACAGAACTGGGGATCCCAGCCCAGATATCTTCATTCCAGTCAGGGGGTCACCCGGCAGGGATGACGGGGGGCAGGCTGGCAGGTGGGAGGGCCTGTTGGTGCTCAGAAGTGCACACTGGCCAAGTTGCCTCACCTCCTGGAACTTGCCCTTTGTTGGAAAAGGAGTCCGTACCGGGCCCTGCGCCCCCCACCCCCAGGCTGCCGTGAGACCCCGCTCTCCAGGTCCCGTGGGGATTCCGTTCTGCACAGCTGAGCCCCACCCGGCCTCCTGTTTGCTCAGCGTTTTTCTCTGGTTGACTTCTCCGTGACCCCAAACTCTTAGACCCACCCACAGGGACACCTGCGGAATCGCAGGCGGGGTGCAGGCTCCTGTGTTCCCTGACACCCCTTAGAGGGATGTCCCCAAACGTCTGGGCCCCAGGTTCCCCAGTGGGGTTCCCAGGGTGCTGCTGCCCCAGTGGGTTGGGGTTAGGGGTCAGCAGGCCAGGGCCTCCCCTGCTGCCCTGGTCTGTCCCTCAGGAGTTATCCCTGGGGTGCCATGGACCTGTATCAGGGTCCTGTTGGGGTGGATCCCAGCACAGCGAGTGGGGAGGGGACTCTCATGGGATCTGCCGGGAATGTGGGGGTGCGGGTGGGAGGGGGTGGGTTTCCTGGCTGTAATCCCAGCCCACCCTTGTTTGTGGTCAGGGCCTGTCTGGGGCCTTGTTAGGGCAGGAGGAGCTGGGGGCGTGTCCTGGCAGCAGGTGACTTGGTGTCTGGTGTTGTGTTTGTGATTGATACCGGGTCACCGTGTGCCAGGCCCCGCCAGGCTCTTGGCAGGTATTTGTGAGTTTCACTGGGGCCTGGGAGGCAGGTCCTGTTGGGACCCCGTCAGAGAGAAGGCAAGCCGGCAGCTCAGCCTGATTCTTCAGGGGACACCTGCAGGAGCCACCTCTCCCCCGCCCTCACGCTCACAGGGACTTCTGCCACCTAGGTCCTGCTGGGTCCTCAGTGTGAGCCGGGAGCCCAGACTGTGGGCAGCTATTTTGAGCATGATTTTGTCACCCGGAGGCTGCTGGGTGGCTAGGTTATTTGCATGTGTGCCTCAGGCGCCCCCTGGCGACACGGGAAGCCCCTCCACTTCCTCCTCCTTGGGCTGTGTTTAGCTCTGGGGCCTTTTCAGGGACCCAGGGTCCTAGGCAGGGTCTCTGGGGCTGACACTTCCCCAAGAGGCTGTGTGAATCCCTGTGTCAACTGTGGAGTGCTGTAACGGGGACGGAACGGGGTGGAGCTCGTGGAGGGGCAGGAGGTGGGGATGTTTGCAGCGTGCTGGAGGAAGTGGTGGGAGGAGCTCTGTCAACTGTAAGGTGACATGGAGCCCTGGAAAGCTGGAGGGGGAATTCCTGTGTCAACTGTAGGTGCCCAGGAACCGGAAGCGGCCGTGTGTCCTCTGGTGTCACCAGGCGGGTATAGGAAGGCCCCAGCCTGCTAGGGTTCTTGGCCCCTGAGTCCCCAGACCTTGTCAGAGCCGGTGTCCAGGACAGCCTCACAGGTAGGGCCCCGCCAGGATAGTGAGCCCGAGGTGGTCCCTGCCCACCGCCATGGCTGCAGGTTTGGCTTCTGTACCTTGTGGCTCTGGGGGGCCCAGCCAGTGCCTCCCATTCTGGGGGTTTGTGGGTGCTGTTCCTCTGGCCTGCCCCAGGCTGTGGCACTCAGGCCACCCTCAGCTTCATGGAAACGGTGCTGTACCAAATGGTAGGCCCAGGTGACCCAGCAGAGTGAGGATCCCGGGAGGCTTGGTGTTTCCCTCTGTCCCCTGGAGCCCATAGCCCCCCGACAGGTCAGGGTGGAGGTTTGTGCCCGGCTAAGCACTGTTCAGGTGCCTCGGTGGCATCTTTGCAGACATACAGAGCATCAGCAGGGACACTGGGAAGGTCAAACAATTCTGGGAATCCCAGGATTCAAACCCTGCCGCCACGGCTTCCCAGTGTCCGTTGACCGTCACCTCCAGGCAGGACAGGCGCCGCATGGCTTCCAGAGGCCCGTGTCCCCCAGCACAGGACGGGCTGTTGGCCCCTGCCCAGGGCTGTCAGGGGGAGGTGTCTCAGGTCAGCGGCTTCCCTCCCTCCTTTCTGAAGTGTGGAGCCACAGGAGATCTGAGGGTCCCAGGTGGGCCGTCCTTGGTGGCGGGAAGGCCATGACTTAGCCGAGACCAGCAGGACACCTGTAGGGCCCCAGGCTCTCCTGACAGGGAGTCTGCTGAGCTGCTTCCCTATGGGCGGGAGGCCTGTGCAGCTCTGGGGCTGAGCACCAGTGCTGGCCTCTCCTCTCTGCGGAGGCTCCTGGGCACCACAGATGGGCAGGTGTCCCCTCCAACTTGCCTGCTCTGTCCTGGCTCCCCGGGGCCACTCACAGAGCACCAAAGACCAGTCCCCAGAACCTGGTACGGCTCTGGAGGCTGCAGGTACAGGCAGAGGCTGGCTCCTCCTGAGGCCAAGGTGGCCCCCTTTTTGTGATGTCCCCATGTGGTTGCCCCTCTTGTGTGTCTGGGTCCAAATTTCCCCTCTTAGGACTCTCGTTCTATTGGATGAGGGATCAACAGCGGCAGCATGACCTCATCTTAATTTGACCAATCTGCACTCACCTTTTTCCAAATAAGGCTGCCTCTGAGGTCTGGGGGTTAGGACTCCAGCTTCAGGACTTGAGGGGAGGAAGGCGGTTCAGCCCAGAGCGGCCTCAGAGTTTACCCGGTGTCTGGGGTCCGTGAGTGGCAGGGGTCCATGGGCTTGGAAGAACAGAAGCCACCTGGGGGGGGTGCCGAGAGTCGAGGGTGAGCTGGGGGGAGGAGGAGACTTTCAGAAGAGGCACAGCCTGGCCTTTCCCACCTCGGGCAGGGTTTTATGATGTCCTAAGTCCACAGCACTGAGGGAGAAGGATCTTCACCCACGTAAGCAGTGGGGAGGGGGATGCTGGAGCAGTAGGGGACCAAGGGTGTGCACAGCCAGCAGCCAACCCTGATGCACTGGAGGATTGTGGGGGTGGGGGTCCTAGGGAAGGAGTCACCCCAAGCACCTGCCCAACCCTCAGTCCCCCTTGCTCTGGCCCAGCCGTGACCCAGCCCAGAGTCTGCTGCAGGTTGAGGTGACCCATCCCCACCCCAGGGGCTCTGAGTCATGGGGGGCTGTGCAGCCTGGGTTCTGATTTCCCTAACACAGGATTGACCCCAAGGAATGGGTGGGCAGGGACCTCTGGAGCCTTAGACTGGGGCTCCGTTCTGGCCCCCCAGGTGCCGTCTGCCTACTGCCTCATCATCGGCCCTGGGCTGTGAGGGTGAAGGATCCGTCCATACCAGCTCTCCCAGTGCAGAGGGCCTCAGGGGCCAAGGCCAGAACCCCAGGGGAGGCAGGCCCAGCTGGGCACCTGGCTCTCCTGGACTGGGGCCCATGGTGATGGACACGAGACCCTGAGATCCTGCCACGGCTGTTTGTGATGTTTCAAAGCGCCCCCCCATAGCTGCCCCTCGCACGGGGCATGGGGTCTCCCGTCGCACATGGGGGCCTCCCGTCGCACACCCCCAGGTTAAGTGCTGGGGTCAGCAGGGGAGCTGGCTCCCTGGCTGGGCCCCCTCAGGGCTGAATGTGACCTGCCATGCTGCCTCCAGTCCTGACCCAGGGCACCTGCGCAGGCTGGCGTGTCGAGAGGCCTCTGCAGATGTCTTCAGGCTGAGTGAGGTCATCCTGCCATCGGTGGGCCTGGCTGGTGTCCCCGTGAGAGGAAGGAGAGGGCCACTGAGAGACACAGGGGAGGAGGCCTTGTGACAACAGAGACAGAGCACAAGGCAAGGAAGGTCTAGGAGCACAAGTGTCCTAGGCACTTCCACACCCTGACCTTGGACTTCAGGCCCCTGACCATGGGGACTGTATTCCTGCTGTTGTAAGCCCCCCAGTTTGGGGTAGTTTGTTATGGCAACTGAGGACCTCCTCCACCCCCAGAGACACCGTAGAAGTGGGCTGCAGCCAGAGACACCAGGGGTCCCCATGGACAGGGATGTGAGTCCCCGCTTCAAGGCTGACTCCGGGACCCCCATGTGGGAACCCAGGGGTTTCCTAGTCTGTTCCATGTAGTTGACCGGAAATGGAAAAACCCCAAACCTGAGGCCCCTGGCCCCGCCTGGCCTGGAACGTAATGGTTTGACCTCACGTGTGTCAGGAGAGGCAGAGACACCGTGGTGGCCACACAGGGACAGGAAGGCCCTGGCTCACCTGCCGTGGTGGCCACCCCCACCCCGCTCGGCCCTTGGCAGCCTTTCTTCAGTCTCAGCCCTGATTGGCCCCTAGGGACTCCCAGGTGGCCAGGGGGCATCTGTGTCTCCAGTGAGCTGCTGTCAGGGACCGAGAGCCACCTGCAAGCTCTGGGCAGGGAGGCCACATCCCAGTCTGAGCAGCGAGGCCGGGGAGAGGCAGGGAGGGCCCGGGCCTCTGGCTGCGGGCTCTGTTGTCCTGCACACAACCCTGATGGGTGGAGGCTGGACCAAGGCTGGACCAAGGCAGGAAGGAGACGGGACCTGGTTGGCCTCCCACACCAGGAAGTGCCACCACTCGGGGACTCAGAGGTGGACACACAGAGAAATCACACAATGAGTGAGCCTCCTGCCAGTGTGGCTGCTGCAGAGTGTCATGGGGCAGGGAGGGCTGTGGCCTGAAGACTGCAGAGGGGCTCAGGGGGTGGGACAGCCCCACAGGTGGGAGTTGAGGCCCTGGAGGGGCAGAGCTGGGGGAGCTGAGGCCGAGCCCTGGGGGCTTGCGGAAGAGCATGCTGTCCCTGAAGGACCCTGGAGGGGGCTGAGCACAGGGCTCAGGTCCCTCACCTGCTGACCTGGCTGCACAGGGAGACCAGGACCTGGGGCAGTGGGGGACCAAGAAGAGTCACCTCCAGGGCAGGGAAGGGTGAGGCCGGGCCATCAGGACCCACTAATGTGGGTGGAGGGAAGAGGAACAAGGGACCGACCTCCATCTAAGCACCTCTCCTCAGGTGGGGCCACCAGCACGTGCCCACCTCTGGAGCTTCTGACCCACTGGTTACTTCCGGGGCCTTGGCCCAGGCTGGCCCCGAGTCTGGAGCCTCTCAGGAAGGACTCTCTCCACCGCAGGGTGGGATCAGGGCCCCGGCTGAGTCCCCTCCTCTCTCCCAGGCTCCTGCGAGAGCAGTGGATCCGAGCCAAGTACGAGCGGCAGGAGTTCATCATCCCTGAGAAGCAGGAGCCCTACTCTGCAGGTGAGCTGCCCGGCCTCTGGGTCTGGGCCTCCGTCTCTGCCTCCCTCCCCAGAGCACCATGAGGATCTTGTTCTGGTAACCGGCTCATTGGCTGGAGCTGGCGGCGTCCTGACGTGCTTTGCTTTACAGCGTGGAGCTGAATCCCCTCTGTGTGTGGTGCCCGTGAGGGCCACAGGCTGGTTGCCCATTCCTCTGAAGGGGCCACAGGAGGGCTGTGGGCCGGGGCCCCCATTCCTGGCCTCAGTCTCCCCATCATATAGTAGGTGGCCCTGGTTTCAGGCCACACCCTCCGCAGGTGCCCTGCAGCTGTGAACATCATGCATCTCATTTAAAACCCCAAGTGCTGCTAGCTGTGGTGGCACACACCTGTCATCCCAGAGGCTCGGGAGGCTGAGACAGAGGATCGTGAGTTCAAAGCCAGCCTCAGCCAAGTGAGGCCCTAAGCAACTCAGGGAGACTCTGTCTCTAAATAAAATACAAAATAGGGCTGGGGATGGGGCTCAGTGGTCAGGTGCCCTTGAGTTCAATCCCTGGTACCCAAATAAATAAATAAGTAAAATAAAACACCAGGTGCCCCAGTAGGTCCCCAGCCTGGATGTGCAGGGCTTCCTCCTGCTCACTATTCTATGTGTGGTGGGTGGGCTTCCAGCTGTTTCCCCAGGGCAGGGGAGGTAGTTCCACGCCACTCCAGGGGAGGACCCTTCCGAAGCCCAGTCTCCAGGGCTTCTGGAGAAGCTGGGCCTCTGCTGGACAGCTGGCCCCTGGGCTGGGCTGGCAGGCGGGTACCACCCAGCTGAGACCTGCACATCCCAAGCCCTGGCTTTGTAAGCCTCCCCTGTCTCCTGTGCCTGCAGTTGACAGAGGGGCAGCCAAGGCAAGCCAGGGCAGCCGTGGGCCTGGTTTTGACACAGCCAACATCCAGTGGGTTCTAGAAGGCTGAACAGAGAGCAGCAAGAGCTGTCTGGAGATGCCTGGTCCCTTCTGTGAGGAGACAGAGCCCTGGGCAGGCCTCACTTTTGACACCTTTGACACAGCACTGCCCTGCTGCCAGCGCCATGTCCACCTCGCATCCAAGACAGGCAGCCCCCAGCTGCGAGGCACAGGCTGCTGTGAGACCCAGAGGCTCTGCTTCTCGGCATCTGCCCCAGAGATGGGGACTGAGCAGGTTCTTGGGCACAAATGTCCACAGCAGCCTCCTCCAGAAGTTGGGGGGCAGCCTAGATGCCATCGGCCAACAAAGGGAGGGGCAGTGTGGCCTTCTGCCCAGAGGGACGTGGCTCAGCCACAACGGGGTGGGGGTGGGGTGGGGGGGACGGACCTGGACCTTGTGATGCTGAGCCAGAGAAGCCAGACCTGAAGGCGCGTGTCGTGTTCTGTTTTCATGGCGCGTCCGGGGCAGGCTCGTCTCAAGGGGGAAGCAGGTCAGTGGTGGTGGTGGGCGTGAGTTCCTGCTCATGGGTGCCAGGCTCTCTTGCAGGGTGCTGGGGATGTTCTGGAACCAGCAGAGGTGGGGGGTGTTCCGTGTCGTGAGTGGGCTAAAGGACGCTGTCCTCTGCTTCAAGACGATGTCTGAGGCGCTCAGTGAAAGAAGGATGACTTCCATCTCTGCCTGGAGAGAGGACAGTGGCCTCGTGCCCAGGGCAGAGCCTGGAGCTGAGACGGCCGTGTGGCAGGTTCTGGAGGAGGACCCCACCCCATCACCAGACCCTCTGATTAAGTTACTGTCGGCCCCAGGTATCCAGTCCTGCCTCTTCCAGGGTCCCAGACTTCAGAGCAGATGCGATGAAGAGCAGTGGTCCCCTGTCCCACCTCAGCCGTGGGCGCTCCAGCCCACTGATGACGGAGCCCAGGAGGATCACCCAGAGCTCCTTCGTCTTTGGCATAAGCACCTTAGCAATTTATCACAAAGTGGTGTATGACCTTGTGTCAGAGGCAGGTGCAGGCCGGGCTGACGTAACCATATCCCTGAATGTGATGTCTCTTCCTAGAACTCTCTTATAACAGAAAATCAACTGGGGAGGAGCAGATCTAGAAATGGATTGGCTCACATAATTGGGTCGAGCTTCAGGCTTAGCTTGATCTAGGGGTTTAAGTGGTGTTCTGTCAGGACTTGGTTTCAGGGTCACCACCTTCCAGTTGTGCTTCTCTGGCCTAGCACTAACCTGCTGAGGGCACCTTGACTCTAGCAGAGTTGGATTTCACATCCCTCTTGTTGGGGCTTCAAGGTAGAGGTGAGTGGAAGGCACAGAGGGGCCAGGAACGTCTTGGCTGGTCTGACTCGTCCAGGTTGTGTGATCCTGTCACTCTAACCAGGGTGATGGAGGGCCCTGGGTTGTATGCTGGCCTCTGGAACCACAGTGGTCTTCCTGAGAAGAAGTGGGGTCCAGGTTCCAGAAGTGGGGTGCATGCTGGCCACAGAATCAAGAGGTAGCACCCCAGCAGGTTGGAGGGTGAAGCATCCTGTGGGTGCATTGGGGGTGTCAGTTCCTGGTGCTTAGGTCACCAGGGACCTGGTCTCTCCCAGCTCATAAGCGGGGCTCAGGAAGTGGGGACAGCACTGTAAGTCACGAGGCCTCCCCAGGCCCAAGGATCCCCCGGAATCCCATTACTGTCTTGAGACTGATGAGATGCAGCTAAAGGCACTCGCTGGGCCGTTGGGCAGCAGAGGCTTCCCAGAGGACAGACTCCAGAGGCTCAGATGTTCCAGGGTGCACACTGGCAGGGCGGAGCCTGGGCCTGGCATGGGCCTTGGTGGGCCACGGCTAAGCAGGAGATGTCCTGCCCGATCTAGTGACGGCATCATGGTCTTCAGACCCGGGCTGGGATTCGCTCACGGAGGGCTGGCCATCTGAATGCATCTGTGTCCTGGCTGCCATTGTGGTGTTCATAGGGTGGGAGGGCAGGGGCTCTCTGGGCTAGGTGAGGGCTTGGGTGGGCATCTTTCTAAATGGGATTGTGAGGGGCAGAGTTCAGCTGAGCCCACGAGATTCCAGACACACCTGGAGCTTGGCTGGGGGGCACAGAGCAGGAGCGGGGGTAGGGCCGTCCACCCAGGGGAAGGATCCCACTGGCCAGGAGGAGCGGGCTGGAGGGAGACCTCATGGTCCCTTGTTCCAGCCACTTCCTCCTCTGCCTCGGGGGCCATTGGCCCAGGAGGGATCGGGCGCGGCCCTCCCCAGATGAGAAGTAACTCTGACCCTGGAGGACTGTGGGGGGGGCTTCCTGTCCTTTCTGCAGCTGGTCTTCTCCCTCCCACCTTTGGCATCTCTGCCCGGGAGCTGCTCCCAGCATCGGCCCCCAAAGGGGCTCGGATCAGGCTCCCCTGGAGGAGGAAATAAGACCCTAGGACCCTCGGGTGCTGCCTGCACAGGGGGATGGATGACAGACCACCACAGGGACCCACCACATTTATACTCTCTCCCCTGAAAAATGCCACCACAATGACGACACCGGGCCTGAACACTCCACCCTTGGGTGGCCCTTCCCAGCTGAACCCTGGGTGTGGGCAGGACCTGGGGTCATCAGTCCACCCTTCCTCCACTAAGCCACCCCACCACGGCACCCCAGGGCCACATGGGAGGGACCAGGCCACGGGCCAGAGCTTGGACCTATGAAGCCCCAGTGGTGGGGGGCGGTTGGGTTCCCTGGGATTCTGTGCTCGGGTCCCCCGAAGCCACCTCTGCCCCCCACCTGCTCTGGCAGAGTGTCTGCCTCTCCTGGCCATCTCTGCCGGCTGGGCTCAGAGTGGGGAAGCCCCCGGCCACTGTCTCTGCTTGTGGGGTGCCATGCCCTGTGAGAGTCTCCCCACCTGTCTCTGAGGGTAGAGCGAGGGTCCGGGGACCACAGGCTGGTCCCGAGTCCTGCCCCCCAAACCCCATCCTGGAGCTCTGCTGGGTGGACGATAGGTCCCAAGTGCTCAGGTGGAGCCAGGGTCCCCCTCCAGATCCCCCTCTTCCTGCAGTGCCCAGGTGGGTGGAGTGGACGGGAGCCTCCCTGGGTGGGCAGGGAGCCCCTTCAGGCTGCCCCAGGAGATTCCCAGGCCCCTCTGGCTCCGCCCCTCGTTGGCCACAGAGGACTTTCTCATGAGGGCAGGTGGGCCCCTCCCTGCGGCCATGGTGAAATGCAGAAGTCCCTCCCGGTGGAGAAAGGGGAAATGGGGTGAGGCCTGGGACTCTGCACCCAGAAGTGACCTCAGACCTGCCCTGGAATGAGCCAGAACTGTGGGCTCCCGGGGCTGCCTGCGGAGGGGACAGTTTCCACCAAGGGCCGGTGCAGGACTCAGTGGGCCAGAGCAGAGGACCACAGGCTCAGAGTGTCTTCCCCAGGGCTGGTCAGCAAGCAAAGGCCAGGTGGTGGGGGACATCCAGGAAGGGGGAGACCTGGATGCCCCTCACTGCAGGTTGACACTTAGTGGGGTCACGGGTGACGTGGGCACCTGGCCCAGTGCACTGAGAAGCCAGGTCCTGCAACATTCTTGCTGGAAAGGTGGAATCTCACTCTCACCTACTCAAAGAAGCTGAAGGAAATGACGGACCCGCCCTCTGCCCTCGGGCAAGGTCATCCACTCCAGTCAAGCCCAAGAGTGGGGCCGGGAGAAAGGCAGGAGGGACGCTGTGCGCATGGCCAGTGGGTCCTGCAGCAGGAAGGCCCAGCGTCCAACTCGTGGTCCTGCGCTCAGAGTCCGGCAGCCAGCGCTTCAAAACAGTTTCCCCCTGGGGGAGACTTGTCCCCGGGCAGCCGCTGCCACCCCTTCCAGCCCTGGCGTCCAGCAGCTGCTCTGTCCCCGTGGGTTTTCCTGCTCGGGATGTTGCCCATAAGCGGAATTGTGAGCCATGTGGCCGTCTGGGTTGGCTTGTCACAGAGCGCCGCTCGTCCTCGCTGTTGCATGGACTATTTTTTGCAACTTTCCTTGAAGTCTAAAATTAGTTCAAAAGAAGAAGTCCGCCGGGACTGGCTGTGCTGGGAGCCGGAGGTGCCCGACAGCGGGGTCTCCAGGTACC